TTGATATCTATCACTATTTGAAGTATATAATTTGTTTATAACAATATGTATATGTAGTATTTTAGTAAGATATATATGAATATATGACTATTTATGGTCTGTGTTTGTGCAACACTTTCCTTTCGAAAAACTTTTATTATACTTTTTGTTTTGCTTTGCTTATCCTTTTGTTCTTTTTATTTTAGTAGTAAAGCACTTTTGCTCAACTATTGAGTGGGTAGGAAACTATTAAATTTCATGTGCATGGATCATTTAATTTTTGATTGTGTTTAAGCGTTCATCTGTCCCCTTTTTTGGAGTCAAATGAACCATGTCAATTTATCGTTTTGTACGATAATCGCTTTATGGTCGAGTCAATTGTAAAATCTGTGGTAAATAGGAATAAATTCTTATTAAATAATAAAAAGTTTAAATTTTGCCATAGTACTTAAACCAGAAAATTTTATGAAAAATTTAAATAAGTATTGTAATTTACACTACATTTTTCAATTAGTGTCAAGTCCTTTATTAGTCTCTAGGTGTAGAAGATTACATGTAGGTGTAGATGTTGGAGTTACGGTTTCGGAGCTATTAGTTAATGTTCCTTTTCCTTTTGTTCTTAAGAGTAGTTATTGCTAGTAGTATTTGGTTGAAATATATATTTTTTTCTTTTGAATGAACGCTTAATAATTGCACTGTGTCCTGTATATATATTCGATTCCTTTCTATGCCATACAACCATTCATAAAAGCATTTCTAAGGATTTTGTATAAGATTAGCTATTTTTTTGTTGGTTGCTAAATACAGCGTGCACAATATACATGACTAAGTTAGTAGAAAGCGTGTCGAATTCTCCATTTTGCTTTCTAATGATACATGTGAGGTATTTAAACTACTCAACGTTTATCGGTAGATTTCTTCTTTTACTTTGCACTAAAGCTAGAACTTACGCCAGTTTTATATTAGAAAATTGTTTTCTCACTTTACTCTTACGGTATTTTATTTCTGGGAGAAATGATCTATATGCTTGAGACTATGAGTACTTGAATACATAACCTCCACATATTCAAAATCTATAGAACCTCAAATCAAACCCACTGTATGCCTGTTGGCTAGCTTTTATACACAACGCACAGTCTTATAGGACTTCTTTGCTTATTGTGAAGATTTGGTTCATCACGGTAAACGGAATACAATTGTAGTAGAGAAATTTTAGTTAGAACAATGATATTGGTGGTTACTCCATCAAAGCCATGTTAATACATCCCTTTTGTTTCAGTTAATGGTATCAAATGTACGTTAAAGGTCTAAAAAGAGGTGTAGAATAGACAACTTGCATTAAACTTACTTTAATACATATTAATAGCTTTAAAACTGGCAAATAACTTTTGTATGCAATGATTGATTAAGCTAGTGTTACAGTGCTAGTGCTAGGGCTACAATAGTTCGTGATTCTGATTGTAGTTAAATTATATTGAATATAGTAACCAACGACTATGACGACACTTAACCATACCAAAATGCTATTAACATGTTCTTGCTTAACTATGTTTTTGACATTTTCACTGACTGCATTTGCTAACTGCAACTTAATCGTGCTTTCGGTGTTATGCCTTCAAATAATAGATTATTATCGATAAATATTCGATGTAATTCAAAACAACTAAATTTTGTTTAAAACTATACTTAACTTAAGAAAATGTTTACATTTCTCTATTAAGAATTGTATTTCTATAATTAAATTTTATTGTTTTGCTTAATTTGTTGTGGCATTAAGAATACATACCTTCAACCTCTCTGGAATTGTGCAGTAGCCAGCATAATGAAAGCAATAATTAGATTAGCAATCTTTTGTGCCATCCATTTTATTGTTGTGTTGATTTGCAAAAAAGCCCACAACTGTTCGATTTTACTGCTCAAATGGAAGAAATGCCTCATTGTTCGGAACTGTATAGAAAAGAATGGAGAATAAAAACTATAGTACGTACAAAAAACACCAACAATGCAAACGAAGTGTAGCAACCAACAAATTGTGTCAAGAAAAACCATAACAGGAAACGGAAACATTTTGCCGGAAGCAAACTTTTTTAAACTTTATTTCAAGAAAATAATTTTTGCCATTTTTAAATGTGGTTGACGTACAATTTTCCATGTTCAATTTTCCATTTCAAATAAATTCAAATTAAATACAAGAGATTCAAGAGATGAGACTGAGAATGACATTTGCAATATTTGCTTCTTGATTCAATGTAGTTTCATATTCTAGTGTTAAGCACCATATACTAATGAGGAATATACATGTATAATTAACTAAAAACCATTGCTCATTTAACTTCAACCACAAAAGCTCATTTCCATTTTTAATACTGCTAATAAAATGAGTCATATTATCCATTATTCCTTTCGGAGTGAATAATCTGCAATAATGCCACTTCAGTTATCAATTACTTTGAACATTTTCGTATCATGATACACAATATGGTTTCCACTGGCAGTTTGGTAAACAAATACTGCATGGAAGTATCCGTAAGTTTGCACTATAAAGGTGATTTGGTATGGTCCAGCTCCAGGATTGCTATAATATCAGCCGCAATAGTGGCAGTGGCTGAATTTCTTCATTTCCTTTATTAAAAACGTAGCAACAATTGAAAGAACTGAACGAAATCATGAAAGCGGAAATTGATTATTGCAACATACGCATATGAAGCTAAACCGACCATCATAATTTATGTGCACGATGCATTTCAACTGGCGTTGGGTTAAACTGCAGCAGCAACAGCCAAAGTGCCATAAGTGGTGGGCACTCTGCGCAAGTGATATGTGCAGCTGCATCATTGAGGCATGTTGCGTGTTGCATATTTAAAGGAAATTAGTATTTTTGTGCGTTTTTATGATGCCACATATTACTCATTATAATAAACTATTGCTGAACATTGCACGCTTGCAGTTTGTGGCATGAGTTCTCTAAGCCTGGTGAAGAATTCGCCCCTAACAATAGTTGGCAAAATGTTGTGTTAAAAAGCAACTGTCAACGTGCAAGCTATGTTGCATGTGTTGCATGTGCTGGATGCTTTTTGGTCTAAATGACATTTTAAAATGATTTGCATAATTGAATGAAATTTTGCTTATGGCGTTTCCTCCAAATTGCCTATGTTTACGAAATTTTTATGAATTTCCGAGTACATACACGTGCTTGAATTTTACAAATTTATTGCTGTGTAAAGTTTACGCTTAAATTAAAGCATAAAGATCATGTGTGTTTAGCATTAGTTTATAGACTGTTGTGTACATCCGTACATCCGAAATTGTAGGTGGAGTAATAAATTTCCATAGAACGGCAGTTGATTTTCTCAATTCCGATGTTTAACGTTTCCAACATATTTATTAATTTTACATATTAGGCAGGGCATTTTGCATAAACGATTAGATTTTAAATTAAAAACTTTTCAAGCATACTTAATGCAATAAATAGTGCATAAATTTTGCCAATAATTCGTATGTGCATATAGGTATAGGATATTAGTTTATAGAGTGATAGCTCATTGGTGTATTGTTTGCCTTAACCTGTCCTTGTATACAGCCGAAAGTGTAATGAAAATTGTTCACTAAAATTAACATTCACAAATTTAATTAAATAAATTCATTGTTAAGTGCTTGTTGGGGAATTTTTTAATAGTATTCAACATTTGAAATTGCTTTAACATCATATTTTTAATCATATTTAGAACTCCATTTGCATATTACTTAGTATTTTAAAAACTCAAAAATTAAAAGTTTAACCTTGATATATATAATATCAAAATGAGTATAAAATAAATACGTCTACAGTCTCAGCTCATTCATTTCATTGCGCTACATAAGTTTAAAATTAATTATAGTACGTGTAAAATAATGTGTAATATTATTATTTTTAGATACTAAAACTTATTGTTAGGCTTTAAATAAAAGCAATTTAATAAAGCTATGTTGTTAAATAAAAAAAAATAAAGTCTGCGCTTCATTTTAAGTTCAGACAGCCAAAATTCCTTAATTTCGTCAAAATGAAATGAAGTTAATTTCAAAAGTGTTCACACTGCCCGAAATTAAAGAAATCATATGTTTTTTGTTTACAAATCAAATGTTAAAAATTATATGCTCCAAACACCATTTGTATATTAGAAATTTTAGAAATTGATTATTATAACTATAAAGGATGGCATTTAACAGTTTTATTGGCTTTAGTGGATTTCAGGTAAGTGAATTATTATTATTCACTCTATTTTAAATTAATAATAGTTGCATATATTTCTCTATATATTTAAATTATAAATTATGCAACTGTCATTGATATTTATTTAAAAAAAATGTCATTTTTTCGTTATCTCAACTTTATCTTTTGCTTAAAATTTATTTTACACATAGTTGCATTTGAAATGTCTCTCAACGAAATTAAGACCTTTTTCCTTAATTTCGTTCTAACCTTAAAACTGAATTTTTTATGGAAAAAAACAACTTAATTTCGCTGAAACGAAGATGAAATTAATATTTTTGCGAAATTATGGCGTGTGTGAATATAGTATAACTTTTTCTGACGCAAGTGTGTATTTTTTGCTTAAAAGAACTTTATGTGTTTACACTTAAATTACAGGAGTTTACCGAACACCGAGGCAAAACGAAAAAGGAAACGCAATTTGGTGTTTAATTTAAACATCGTTTTTTTTTCTTGACATTTAGATTTAAATTACATCATATTAATAATAAATAATAAAGTTTTGGCCTTTTATTCACTTCTGTTTTTAATTTAATAAATTAAATCGATTTATAAAGATAATTATAATTTAATTGACTTCTGCGCTCTTGTTATTTATATATATTGTTATTAAAAATTTATTTTAATTCTCCGTAGTCTTTATTAAGTCCATTCCGATAATGTAAATGTACTGTATTATTCTATAAAATACTATCTCATATCAGTAGGCACAGATAGATAACAATAAAATGTTAAATCTTCGTAGTAAAGTTTTTAAATATTTCCAAACATTTACAACTCTCTAATGCTGTGTTAAGCTAAGAAAATCAAAATTTGCAGCTTTTATTTAAAAATTTATTAATGCGAAATTAGTGTGCGGACGAAAGTAAAAGTTTTGGTAATCACGCGATTTAGTTCGGAAGGTATGTTCAGTAGATATCAACATTTCGCTGTAGTGGATGTGAGCGTCAATCCAAGTGCATAACTCGCTGTATTTCTGCAACAATTGCATTACCTGCTTAGCGGCTAGTTGGATTATACAGGATTTCTGGTAAGTGCAGTGAAAATGTCAGATTATTAAAAAAATATACTAAAACTAGTGATAGATTTCGGAAGTAAATAGTGGTTAATATTGTGGTAGATAGTTTCTAATTAATTTTTACTTATTTTTGTACTGCAATTGATATTATGTGTAATTTCACGGAATTTGTCAGTGCAGACATTTGCGGAAAGGAATTTAAAAACCAATCGGATTTTTATTTTATATATTGCAACAAAGTTTGGCAATTGTAATCTTGTGCGCTATATAAAATAAATAACTAATTAAATATTTCTTTGAAATTATTGCAAATTAATATTTTTTTTTTAAAATGGACAGCTATAATATAACAATTTCGTTGGCATGTCATGCAAATTGAATATTTTATTATTTTCAATTGACATTATTATATACAACTTAATCAAAATTTGCTAAGGGTCATGTTATGTATAGTGTCTCGGGCACGGCAAAAATGGCTCTCTCGGGCTATGCCGAAAATGCATATTATGCAGACATCACATCAGTATTGCCAATTTCATATTTTTACAATATTTTGGTACTTTTTGGTTGTACCTAAACTTGAAAGGAAATGTAGATATGCTCACTTTCAATGTACCAACAAATATATCTAACAAGAAAAAACTTATAGAGACTGTATAACTGTTAACAGTACTTACAAAATTATACGCTTTTCCTTAAAGCTTTGTTGCTAACTGCCATTTTTTCTATTAAACAACATATTGTCTCTCTCTCTCTTTCTCTTGTCTCTCTCTCTCAATTTTATAATTAGCATTGAAATCATAAACAATTTTACTCATGCCGTGCCCGAGACACTACAGAACATGGCCCTAACAATAAGGTAACTTTTTGTAATTGCATTTGTATTGATTTTATGTAGACTTTTCCTGACAACAGTAATAATAAAATTGTTGCATTATGTCCAATTTTGAGAAGGAAATTGTGGATGATTTTTTTAAATCATTAGATAATGTAGCTATTAATCTTCATTCCAAGAAGAAAATTAGCTCAGAAATTAATAATGTGGAGTTGAAGAAACAGCCTGAGCAGCAGTTGGTCAATGTTGTTGATGTTAAAGGCGTAGACGATCCAGGAATATCTCAAGTAGTAGTCAATAGTGACAAGGTTTCAGAAGTAAAGCCGTTAGTAGGTGCTGAAATTGAATTGACCACCCCAGTCACTGATATGAAACCAGGTGCAGAACATGGCATAATTCCAAAAACCAATCTTGGCGTCAAAGTTAATGACTCAAAAGTCAAGGTTTCTGTAGCTGTTAATCCTCGTGTAGAAAAGAAAGTTGTCTTAGAAATTAACAACATGAAGTTAGAAGATCAGTCTGAGCAGCAGTTGGTCAATGTTGACGCGAAAGGCTCAACTTATCCAGAAGCTCAAAAAGTAGTCAATAGCGATGAGGTTTTGAAAGTAAAGCCGTTACTGATAGAAGAAATTGAATTGACCACCCCAGCCGCTACTGCTAAACCAGGTATAAGATCAGGTGTAGAACACGGCGCAATCCCGAAAACTAATTTTGGCGTCAAAGTTAAAAACTCAAAAGTTGAAGTTTCAACAGTCAAAAATATCGTCTCCAACGATTCCAGTTCATCTTCAACCAGTGATATCGATATAACAGAAACCACTGCTGAAATGTTGTATGTACGTTGTTTATATAATCGATTATCAATAGTAATGGATGATTTTAACGAAATGAAGGAAATAGTTTCTGGACGCGATCGTTTTGATGAAGACAAGTTTATAAATTCATGCCGCTTCTTTGATTTCAGTGCGAAATCATTTTACAATTATCTACTCAAAGCCCGTGATATAATTTCTGAAAGTAAATTTAAAAACTTTAAAGTAATGTTGGATGAATATTTTAGTTTAAATCTGCTGTTACGCAAAAGAGTCCTCACAAAAAGTAACATTAAGCTAACTGATAAGCTAAAGGTATATCTAACTTCTAACGAGAAAGACTTTGAGCGTAAAAATTGGACTCAAGTACATCGTGAAAAAACGCATATTATTTTACGTGAGGATGACCTTCAAAAGACCATGATTGAATTAGCTAATCTTATAGATTGTTTAGTGGAAATACAAGGTATATCTCAAACGCTTTATATTAGAGATTGTACGAACACTGTGTTTCTGTGCGGCCCAACCGTAAAGTCTGCTTTTGTTAAAGATTGTTACAAATGTACATTGTTTCTTGCATGTAAACGTCTTAAGATTGAGAACTGCAAAAGATGTGACTTTTATGTGCAAGTAGTGCAAGACACAACTCTGGAACATTCAAAAAATATAAGATTTGGTTACTACGAATATTGTTATCCTAAAATTGAATCTGATTTTAAGAAGGCTCGCCTGTGCATGTATGATGAGGGAAGTAGTGTAATTAATGACTTGAGCTACGAGGAATCTAAACCACCTAATTGGAGCTATTTCGATGATTTAGGTGATAGACCAACATCAAAAGAGTTTAAGATGAAAGTTATAGCAGGCTTACGCCAGGATACTGAAATAATTGATGGTAATAATTTATTTATTGTATTACTTCAAAGAATACATATTTTGTGCATATTTTATAGATGAAGCACCATTCATATGTGTGCCAGGAGCTGAAACAAATCCTGAGTTGTTCGATGTCAAATCTATTGGCCAAACCACCATTCCTAAGATTGGTAGTGTTGCAGACAATACAAGCATTACTAAGAACGCAGTATTCTTTGAAGAGTTAGCAAAGCAAAAGAGTGGGATTACTATACCTTTAAGTTCTTCACAAGTCAAAGATAGTATGCATTAATTTACGATATGTATAATGTTTACTGAAGTTTAATTTGTTAATAATTACAGATAATTTAACAATTTTCGACAATCCAGCAACAAGTGTCAAGCAAGTGCAAACTAAACATTCCCAAACAGTTGACATGGTTGGTTCTAAAAAAACTGCAATCGATAAAGACAAATTTTCAGATACGTTAAATGCAAGCCCAATAGTCCCCAATCTTTTTGCTGTGGAAAACAAAGAAAATCGTGGTATAAATAAGGATCTTGCCATTAAGGAGCAAAAACAAAGCAAAGCTATTTTATCTTCAAATGATTCATTACATATTGATCCAACCAGGAAGGACACATAAAAATATATTATTTAAAATAGAATTGTTACCAATAAAAATATTCTCTTTATATATATATATTATATATTTTATTTTAGTTTTAATTATGAATCATTACTTAAAATAAGCAAGTACATAAATTTTGCTTTTGAAGGATTATAATAAAAGAAAGACGATGTATGGGGTAGTTCGGTAAATACGTACACAAAGTATGGGATCTGATTTGTGAATCATGAAATACTAACACATTGTGCACCTAATATATTCATCCATTGTACACACTAGAAATTTTAAAGCTTATTCTCTGCTAATTTACCTTTACCATTGTGTTTTATATTAGTTATTATATAGTATTTACATGTTTATTGAATTTATTGGTGAAAATCAATAATATAAGTCGAGACGTTAGAGCAGGTAATGTCGAGATGTGATAGATATCATATAACAATTTGTCGTTGTGCTGGAGATAAAAGGTATATGCTTTTATGATTTATAACATCGCCAAACCAATGTGAAGAAGTTCCAGAATTCTCTTACAGATTAAATTTAGTTGCATATTGTGCTACCCCGCAATTTGATTGAATTTCATTACATTGAGGAGGAGTCGAATGCCTACGCATTGACCACAGTCCGGCGCTACGGAAAATGAGTGCCGAACTCGAGCGGATTTAACCGCTCCCCCTCATTCCTAGAGAGCTTGTCCTACCCCGGGTCTATGCTAGTATTACTTCGAGGTAGTGTCCTAATTAGTCATTCAAATCTTCCATCGATGTGACCTGCATCCAGACCGCGCTACTGCTGTAGGTGATTATTTTTCACACCATGGTAAATTGGGTAAGTTAGTGGATATTCCTGAAAATTCTTTGGCTCTATATTGCATGGAAACTACATAACCATTGGGTTAGTTATATTAAGTTGTAAAAATTATTTTCACATATAAGACTCGTAAGAAAACGTTACACTGCTGACTTCTCAAAGTGTTTGATACAAATCTTTTTGCTTTGATCAAAGCTACATAGATTTATTAAGCAAATTGTAAATACCATTTATTTCCACTGCACTACGATGTATTATGGATTAATTTAAACAAATACTTACGAGTAGTTTGAAATCATTGCGGGAATTCGCTGGCAATTGCACGATATTAAATATAAAATATTGCGAAATGAGTGCGAATTTCCTTAAAAAAATAGAAACTCATTTAATCCGATTAAAAATATATTTTCAGTTTCCTTTATTAGTTCGGGGAGTTGGGTTAAAAGTTTGCCATTTCAACGTGCTACTTCTTGTAAGTAGAACTGAGAAATGCGCCAAAATTATGCAAAGATGAAAGTCAATTATTGCTCAGAAAGTTGGGGGAATTTTACAAAATTTTCCAGTGCTTCTTAAGTTTACTATCATCGTGGCATAAGGAGATGAAAAATATTTAAAAGGAAATAATAAGTCAGACTACAACAAGCTGTATTCAGTCTGCTCCGCTAAAGGGGACGTGTACAAAAGGTCTTGAATTTAAATTATGCAAATTAAAAGAACATAATAATTATCATAATAAGGTCAATGAATTTCAATTCGAATATGAATTTTAAAGGATATTTATTGAAGAGTTGCTACTGCCCTTATTGCAAGTCGTTTATCTACAAGTGTACAAGACGCCACCAGTGAGGAAGTCTTAATTCAATTAGTATTGCTTGAATGGTTGTTTTTAAAAATTGAGTGCTTTCAATCGTATAATTTGATTTTATGCTCTTCAATAATTTTCATATATGTTTCACCTATTTTTACTTACCGGTCAATTTTGCAGTGGAGTTGTTAAGCAATTAAATAGGTCTTTGTAATTAAATAATTTTGACATGCATTTCTGAAGATATACTCGTATTGAATGGAATTTCTTTTAAGTAAAGAAAGGGTTTTATTAATTTAAATAAAGTATTTTACAAATATTAAATGCTGTTTGCTCTTACATTTATATAAGCCACTTAATTAGATTTAATTTTGTGTTTCTTTTCTTAATTTATAAAAAAAATATTCCTAAAAAATATTGTTTTAATCGTGTCCTAGTGCAGTTTTGTATAGCAATGCACTTCGTTGACAATGGAATATATATTCGAAAACTCTTTGGAAATAAATCACGCGATTTTAGTGATAAATGCTTCTTTTAGTGCAGCTAAGGAGTGTGTGGAACCTCACTGGTCGTATATTTAAAAAACAGACTTTTATTTTGTAGCATACAAAAAATTGGCGACAACCAAATGTATCTCATAACAATAACGGCAAAGCTAAAAGGAATAATCAAGTCCTGTGGTCTTTACAAGCAAACACTTTGCAATATTTGAGTTGACCTAAAAGTAAAATAAAAAATGATTTATGTTCACGGCGGCTTAAATGTTGCTTATTTCCAGGTCGATGTTTTAATCATGTAAGAAAAAAATGATTTGTGCTTGTCACTATTTCATAATATCCTTTCATTGAATATTATTTTATCAAATTATTTGTTATGGAAATAAAAGGTGTTTTTAGCAAAAACCTTATACTAAGATGATATAAAACATTGTTGAAATCCACAACACACACAAAGTCATGAGTAGGTTAGATCTATTAAAACTTAAATTAAAGAATATGCGATTCTACTTAATGAACAAAAAAGTATCTATATTATTTGATTACATATATATTCAACAAATTTTTATAATTTTTAATTTTATATCTGATTCTGGTGACTTGATAGCTACGTAATATAATCTACTTTTAACTAGAGTACCGAAATTTGTTAGTGTGTTCGAGTTTCCAGAGCCAACGATCCAGCACCAACGAACTAAGTCTCAGCATAACCCTAAGATTCAAAAGCTGCACAGAACTCTAAACTAGAGCAATTAGAAAACAGCGTGGCTTTTTTGTTGTGCTTTATAAGTTGAGAAAGTATCTTTTAGTTTAGAGTTGTGCTTTTGTACGTTTTAGCTATATAATTATGAAGTAATACTTGTCTAGATATTTGAGCATTAGGAATGTAATAACTGCCACTCTGAGATGGAGGATACCCCTTTAACTCTGTTCATAAGTGCCAAACTACTAGTGCGAGTAAATAAGAACTACCAACGAGAATAAGAAATACCCTGAAATACCAAATCGAAAGTATTTGAGAAGATCTGATCTGACTTTAGAAGCCTAAATATTACCAACCATATCATTTGAGTTAAGAATCAGGTTTCTCAGTTGCAACTTAAATTAACTGCAAGAGTTTTAACTAGAAATACTTAAATTGTTTAAATTCTTTAAAAGTTTCTCACTTTAATTTCACAGTAAAAGTAATTAATTTGCAATTTTTTTAATTCAAATTGAAATAATAAAATATTTAAAAATTAATTTCAAGCAAAGGTTGAAATTAAAAAGTGCTCATTTGCATTTTGTCGGTGCACGTGCTAGGGATGCTTATATTAATTTCTAGAGCTAATCTAAAGTAGAATTTAGGTCCGACATGCCAACATTAGAAGATTGTCTTTTAATTATTCAAAATGTTTGCCCGCTTAACCTAACCCGGTTGCAAATACGAAATGTGTAAAGAAACGAAAATCTGCACAATGACTGAAATTTGTAATTCTTTTGGATAGTTCATCCTCCTCCCTCCACAGAATCATTTCAGAAATTTTTTAATATATTATTTGTGTTAGTTGCTCGCATCTTGGTCGACGTGCCTGGTATTTGGCGTTCGCTTGGTTTTCCCCTTTCTTTTGTTTGTGCATGTTGCCATAATCCCAATTGGTAGCACTTTCGGGCCGAGCAAACATGTCAGGACTACCAAATATGTGTGTAATATAATTCTAATGTCTAATGTATGTCCAACACTAATACTACACTATATTACATAGAACAGCATGCTCTCACACAAGCTGAAGTTGTGGCTTTTCCATATGTGTGTGCAGAGCTGCCTGCCACAACGTCTGTAACTGAAACTAATTTAAGTGCTACAAATGACAAGCACAGCATAGGCGAGGACAGGGAGTGTGTAAGTGAGTGTGTGTCTTCAGCTTGGTACTGCTAGATTTTGTAGAAGATTTTTGTGTTCTTGTCTGTTTGTGTAATTGAGCTTGTGCCTTGTGTAATGTATGCCAAATGCAGTGCCTCCGTTGACCGCTGCGTTCATATGGGTTTTATGCCGAAAAATTAAAACTAAATCAGTTTAGTTGCGCGGTGCAATATAGCAAGGGAATTGGCGGAGTTACACGAAGCCAGACAGCAGAGAAAAGAAAAGCTTATACCGCTTTCAACATAATTTGTTATTTTACATATAAAAGGAAAATTGCTTAATTTAATGCCGCTCACATTCACACTTCGATTAGCAAATTAGGAAAATATTTGAATGACCTTTAACTGAATAAATTTATTTTTTATATACCCAAATAAATATTAGATTTTGAGTATAAGAAAATGATTGGAATGGATATTGTTTCAGCTGTTTTATGGAGGTTTCTCAATGTTCATTGAAAAGTAAAAAAAATACTGTAATTATATTGCAGTAGTTGGTTACATTTAGCGATGTTTTTCAATTTAAAACTAATTTGCATCTAAACGTTAATAGCTTTTTTTGTTGATGTACTTTGAGTTGCTATAGTAATTGCATCAATACCATGTCTTCGTTTTTTTAACCGTTCACCCAGTTCGACTCAGCTCATGTGACTTGAACATCCACAGAGCTTAATAATCTGTATATGCCGCAGTCTAAGACTGATAAAGAGATGTTTCCCCTAATACGATTGATCTGTACTACCAAATGGTGGATTCTATATAGATGTTATGAAAAAGCATTCCTTTCATGTGGCGTCTATTACATTCTAATACCGTTATTTATGCGCATTCTGGCCACCTGTTTGCCAATACGGCAAAAGAAAAAATTACTGCAGTTAGTCCAGAGACATTTCTTCGTGTTTTGCTTACCAATAGTAATGTTTGTTATGTTCGGAAAATAAAGACCCAATCAATTTTCATGCTATACTGTATATATTCCACTAATAAAGGCGTTTGTTTTAGACACCTCATTTAGCGATGCGATGTTTCCACAAAAATTTTTACCATAGCGTAATTTTTTTGATTATTATTATTAATCTAGATTTAGGTAAAAGAAAAATTATACGATATACTTAGGGTAATTAGATTTTATTTGATTTGTTTTAGTTGGTAAGAGGTCGTTATGGACTTATTCGTTCCCAGACGTATAGCTTGGCGGATATAGTAGTGATATTGGTTCTCATTTTATGATCTATGATTAGTATCTCTTATATCCGCGCAATTTCGAACTGTAAAAATACGTTGGCTTTTAAGAGGACTTGTTATAATTTTTCCAACTTTGACCGTAAGTTGACTAATGACGAAAAATTGTCTAATGACTTTCTAATTGATTTTGGTATTCCTTTGAAAAAGTATATTCTTCACTGAAAGAACGTTTTGCATTTTACAATGTCATTATCTATCGCTTGAGATGCAATAACTCTGTTTTTATTTCTTTAACTATCATAATATTTTATACTTATGTACCATATTATGTATTATTATTATTTAATACCATATATATTATGTTTTACTAAAAATTGTCTATTATCGACAAGTTTAATAGTTACTCTGTTTATTCAGTTGCATCGGGGAAAAGAATATAGAACTACCACGAAAGTTATTCGAGACGAATGTTAAAGAGAAATATATAGTCCGCGGCTATAAAAATAGATGAGGTTTAATTATCGGATGGTAATCTCAAAACTTAATAATAATCTTCAAACTCTGAAAGACAACCTTTAATTTTAAGTAGTATCTTACTTTTCTTATAACACAATAGTGACCCATGTCTATAAGATTTCTTTTAGAAAGGTTTTGTAGCACTTTTGGTATTAAAATTATTTAATATACAGTTGTGCCCTAATACTTAAGTGTTGCTTTCTTTATGTTAACTAAGATACAAGTAAATTAAAGGAAAATAATAAACAAATCCTTATTTTGGGTTTATGTAGAACTTTTGCAAGCCACATTCTGAAATGAGCAGACATTTGCTTCAGAAGTAGGCAGTTACGGAATTCAGTTACAACTTTCATTCGGACATAATTTTTTTAATTATAAAACAATTTCATTGTGCTACTTTTTCTTTACTTCCTTCATATTCCTTTTTCTGTGTCATCCTTGCCGGCATATGAATGTACAAATTTATGTGCCGCATGCAACATGGTAAGGCTTGTACCGAGTTCCGACTTAGTTGCAGTGTAAAGATATGTTGAGAATTTCATTAATTTTAAGTAATTTTATGCAAGGACATTTTTCGACTTAGTTTCAACATTTGTGAGAAAGGATGTCGGATTGGGTGAGATACTGTGCTGGCTAGCATAAGTAAGCTGATCACTCGCTGTGGGGTGTAGCAGTGGCATGACTAGTCTTTTTGTACCGTTCTAGCTTTGCTGAGAGCTATTCTAATGCAAGTAAGTTTCTAGTCAGTTGCGAGTAAGTTGCACATGTTACCAAACCGCTAAGCAATGCTTTTGCGGTAAAAATGCAATTTAATCTGCTGCAGGACTGCAGCGACTGAGTAGGACTGTTTTTTCCCTTTTGCCTATACGTATTTTTATGTATGGACTTAGTTGCATTTGTGTTTGTGTGCGGTTTTTGTTTTCTGATTTAATTAAATTTGAAATAAAATGCAGCTGTAGTCAATTATAATTTTTTTCATCTTACATTTAAGTTAAAATTATTCTCATGCTATCACAAAGCTCATTATTAATTTATGATTAGCGATAAAGTTTTAACTTTCATTTTGAAAATTTTCATATTATTTATATTTCGCCAAAAACTTGCAGAAGCCCAAGAAACAATAAAATTAAGCAAATTATTTTATGAAGTTTTAACAACAGATACATCTCATAGCAGAGAAACTTAACCTCAAAGCTTTTGCTAGACTGCTATGACACGCTGCAGCAGCTGGCAAGCGAAAACAAAGGCATACTTTGCTGGGTGCGTGATCACAAGGAATCAATGGTAATGAGTCTACAAACAGTCTTGCGAGGTCAGGATCTGCTATTCAACTCTGTGAACTGGAGCCATATTGTGGATTAAATTGATCTAGAACTAAGTCTCTGATTGATAAATGTCGCTAGTGACACGACATTCCAGGTAACCGTCAGGCTAAAGAGCTGGTGCATCCCTATACATATGGTAAGGTATCCTACTTTAGTAGAACAAAGTTCATATTGCTGGTGGGATATTTAACGGGATACCATGGAGTGTGTTATCACCTTAAGAAAATGGATCTGTCAGAAGATATAGATTGTCGACTCTGCTTAGAAGCAGATGAGACTTCTAGTCATATACTTTGTGACTGCCCAGTCTTGATCTATGCCAGGAGGAGGTCACTGGGTCGAGAACTATTCTCCATTCTGACATTAGACCTTCTAATGGCTGACATTCTATCTGTCATTCGGAAAGCGGAATGTCTTCTGTTCGGTTAGGGTCTGTTACAGCACAAAAGATCAACTATGGTCGCAGTTCTCTGCTCCATTGGGAGTTCTATTCTATTTTAACAGTGAAACTACTACAGCAGCATATATTGGAATGAAGTAAAAATGATTTAAAAAGGAAAAAAATATCTTTTGATTGCCCTTGAAATGCATTACTTAATTATACCACTTATATATGTACAACATATCGTTATATATGAATTAATATTGAAAATCCAATTTAATTAACTTATCGTTTGTATATTCAACAATGCAGTAACAAAACAAGTATTACTAATATTGACGTATGGAGCCATCGGCTTGGCTCTGAGCTACAAAATTATATTAAATTCAGATTCAGAAAATGAAGAAAAAATAACAAAATTATAATGAACTACATTAAAATATTAAAAAGCGCGCAGGTAAATGAATCTAACAAACTTCATCATTTCTGATATGTGCTTTTAATGTGGAAAAATTCATTTGAAATTAAATTTTGTGGCATTGAGAGTGGCTTCCGGGCGTATGAGCCACTTCTGTGGTAGATGATTTGAGATTTGAGTGTTACGGCTCAGGTTGTAGTTTCAGGATTTTTTCATGTATGAAAATTGGTTTTCCAAAAGTAAATATAAGCAAAGTCAAATATTGAAATAAATTTCTTTAATATGCATTTTAGTTTGTTTTTCGTCAGTACTTACGTAAATTGTATTTATTTAATTATGTAAACATACCGCTTTTGTGGCTATACAGACTGTGTGGTTGTTGTTAAATATAATAATGAAGATAATAATGAAAACAGTTAATTAGTTTGCATAAAATTTACTGTTTCTTTGAAATTAAATGCATTTGTTGGTGCTACTTTCTTTTATTCCAGAGCTTCATTGAATCTATCAAACTTTTTTTCATTGCTCATACTTAAGTTAGCGTGAAAGGAAGAGTATTTTTATGCATCTGTGAGATAGTTCCATACTGAAAATAAATGAATTACTGTTGTTGCTTTTAACTTTTTGCAAGAGTTTTTAAATAATAAATAGTTTTTATTTAATTAAATCAACATGTCAATAAGATTTAATTATAAAGTGACTTTTATTCAATATTACACTAACTAATATATTTTTTTATATACGTTTTCAGTGATATACTGACTAGATGGAATTATTCATTAAAGCATTCACAGATTTCTTTGCCAGTTTTTTTTTTTTAAATTTATTATATTTTAATTTATTTTTCTACATTTGTTTATAAATAGTTTTTGTAATGCTAAAATATTTCAATAAATTTTCTAAGTAAAATATCTTTAATATTCTATTTTCAATTTATACATTCATATTTCTCAAATGCAGCAGTAGGTGTTGTTGCCTAGAATATTTTAAATGATTTTAAAATGCTATTTTACTAAATATTTATTCATTTGAAGTAAAACATTACAATTAAAAATGTTTTTATTTTTTTTTGTTTTATTTGAAAAAAATATTTTATAAAAATCTTAATTACCTATAAGACGAGGACGAGGAAGAGGAAGACTCACGTCTGTAATGGCCAACTAAGTAAGTAAGTAAATTACATATATACGTCGATCTGTAACACAAATGTGTGCAGCATTTGCTTGCATTGCCGAATAAAAATCTAATTTTCCTTAAATTTTATTGAACTCTAATATGTACTCTTGTTAGTCAATTACTTTAAATGTTTCAAAAATTATAGAATATAATAAATCTACTCCGTATTTTCAATATATAAGTTACTTTTTAATACAGTTTAATTTATTTTTTGTATTTATACAATTTTGAAAATTTTAAAATAAATATATTAATAATAATAAACCTTAAGAAAGTCTTTCTAAGCATCTCGCAGTTTCTATTTTTAAATATGAAAAGGTTGAAATGAGTATGTGTATTGGAAGCAAAAAGGCAATCTTTATGTTATTTGAACTGAAAAATTGTGTACTTACCTAAAGGATATTGGAGATCAAAAGCCTAATCAGATAAAATCACACAAATTTATATTAAGCGAACGCGAATATTTACCCTAAGATGGCATCAGCAGGTGGAAATGCCTTAAGACATCTTATGAACATCACATGTACACAATCAACAGAAAATCGAACACTAGTAATATTGATAATGTCAGTGTTGTTAAAAAATTCAAAAATTTCTTATGTATTGTATATGTTTGGAATAAAGTATATGAGGTTTGCTTATCGACACACACATTTGAGTGGAAAAATGCGTAAAAGTGTTTAAGCGCCTTAAACCAAATAATAACGAAAAATTCTCCAGTCGATGAGCAATAAAGTAGCAAAGTTTGCCTTGCATGGAATGTGAGTGAGAGTGGAAATTGTTGTATATATGTGTAGATAAGCACACATTTTTTAAAAACTCTATTAGGCATGCAAAACGGAAATGACTGCTTGCCAATATACCGGCAAAGGCTTCGCTCTAATGCCTGGTGGGCCCAAGCGAAGGCGGCCCAGCCTATTTGCCTAATCACCTTATTGCCATAGTGTTGCTGATTACGAGTTAGTTTAGTTAGTTGCTGCTATCAAAATTGCTTTTTAGTTAATTAGTAGTTGATCAATAATTTACAATATATGAATTTGTTCGTGTTCGCCAATGAGCAAAGCCTGGTAGACATCGAGCAGATACTCATAGTGCGGAAGCGCAAAAGTGTTGCCTAGTTTTAGGCAACGTTTAAGCTTAACGAACGAATTAAAGGCGCTTATGGAAATTGCTTTCTGCTGGCGTTAAATTGTTAATTTTGAAATTTAGGTTGAGGAAATTACAAATTGGAAATTTTGTATTTACCGTAAATTCTGTAAATTCAGTAAATTTTGTAAATTTTGTAAATTTTGTAAATTGTGTAAATTGTGTAAAATTGTGTAAAATTGGTAAATTTCAATTTTCCTTATTTCAGAATAACGAAATTAGTGAAGTTGTTACTTAATTTTATTTTCACTCGAACTACTGTATCTCAAATATTTAAATATTATATTTTAAATACCTTTTAACTGTTTTCAGAAACATAAATTTTTTAAATAATACTATTTCATAAAACAAATTAAATTAAAAGTTGTTTTAGTGTTTACTCGTTGAATTTAACCTATTAGCTTCATTAAGTAAGACACACAATTAAAATAAACTTTTTATACTATAAGTAAAGTTGATTTCGTATATATTGTTAACCTTTTTTTATAATTTTTCAATATAAATATTTAATAACATTTAAATTTCTGATTAGTTTGCACAGTTTTACTTCTTCCAATTATTTTGGCAAGTAATTTCGGTTTGTTTAATTTTTCATAGCAATTGTAATTTTTGCTGCATTAATTATTATTGTTGGCATTTTAGCTTTTAAAGTTTTCGTTTAAATAAAAACTTTGTGTTTTTGTCCAATATTTGTCCATTGCATTTATTCCGAAACTGTGTAGTTATTTTGCGAAATGCAGCACTTTTTATGCACTGCTCCATCCTGACTTCCTAATTGCAAATGTCACAAAGTAATTAAACGCAGTTTAAGCTCTCATTTATGTTTAACTATTTTATTTAACTTCTGGGTTTTATACTATTTTTTACGAAGAAATGTAGGTTAAACTGCTTTATTTAATATCGCAACAAATAAACTCTGTCTTTTCGCTGTTGCGAATACATGCTCCACTTGCCATCCCTAAATATTTTAGTATCAAGAGAAGTTACTGATGTCAGATGTATCACCTTTGAAGATATAATAAGTAAGATATCGAATTTTAACGTCCGTTTTGACGAAAGAAACTAAATACTCAATATGAACTATTATTTTCAATAGATACAATAAATAGATTTCAATAGATGCAATAGGTACTTGCAGTCTCAAAAAATTATTTAGAAAGAATTAAATATAAGAAATAATTCCAAGACCACTTATGATAAGTATTTGCCAATCTTCGAAACAGCCAAAAATTCAATTAATTAATAAAATAATAAAATTTTATTGTTGTCATTTAAATAAGAAATTAATATGAAAAAGAAAATCTAGACAAACTTTTTCCTAGAGTCCCCATTTAGATATCATCAACATCAATCGGTTGGTAACATTGTTCGAGTGTTTAAAATTAATATTTTTTTATTTCATAAGTCTAAGTCTCCATCTTGCGTATCTTTATTATCTTATGTTTAAATCTACTATACTGTGGTCAAATTCTGGTACTCATCTCACTTTTAGGTGAGACATCTGTTTTGGCTTCTATCCTAAAGTACAAATATGTTGCAGTTTTGAAGATAGCATCGACTGTGGATATGTATTCTACCCCACTAAGCTTATTTGTTTTTAGTGTTGTCAAAATCTTAGGATGTATCTAGAATCCTTCAGTTCATGGTTATATTGTTATTTCCAGCTTCCATTTATTTTTGTTGGTTTCGTTTATATTTATACTGATTTAGGGTTAAGTTTCGCTTGCTTATATTATAAATAGTACCACGACTGTGCGATATAAGAAAATTTGTAAACTTCTGCGAAGCAAACCACTACATGAGAAGGTTTTATACAGAATTCATTATTTAAATCTATTTCACAACGTATCTTGGCTTTTGTGTTAATAGTAACACCATATTTTTGCATAAGATACTTACGTTTAATAATGCTGACATCTATCTATCAGTATTTGCATTTGCTTGATTAAGATTATTGTTAATTGCTCATAGATTATACAATCCCTTTTTCGGGAACAACTTTATTTGCAATCGCCATGGCTTGGTTATTATTTTTATATCATCTATGTGTCCTTTAGGACCTAGCCAAGTTCATAGAACTGTCAAGTTGGTTTTCCTTTACCTAATAGGGGAGTCGTTACTTTTCTTTCGACGTTGAATGTATACTGATTACGATCTTTATACAAATCAACGTAACTCCTGTGGTTCCACAATGGGCTATTATTTGTGCTTAAGTGGGCTTTTTGTGATACAAGGCCGCCACTCCAATCAACCAACCAACCAGGTGTCCTTTAATAGTTTGAAAGAATTCATAGAATTGTTTTTAGTAGTTTTATGGCAACATATGTAGTCTATATTTTTGTGAATACATCATTCGCGTTCACTTGATGATAGGAGTGGTGCATTTTGAACTCTAAATACAATAAGAATAATATTATATAGCAGTATGTTAGTATGAACAAGACCTTTAGACTATTCATTATACTATCACTACACTGATAGTGCTTAGTGCCCGTCAGTCCAAGTAAAAAAGGCACAATAATTGTTTGAAAACTTTATGCCATCTAGATATTAAAATATCTACAGCATCGATGAGGTCGAAATCATATGTTATAAGATATATATCATATATCATAAGACGAATGTGTAGCAAATTATATTCATTGTACTACGAACCGCTTTACTGCACATAGTTATGATTTAATAGATATATTATCTTTGTATGAATAGTTCTAACCATGGTCATATATCGAATACTAATGGCTTAAAGATGATACAAGCAGTTAATATCATTCTATATGATAATCTATTGTCATATTCCTTATCTATATCTATTTTCAATATACGCGATCGGTGAACTTGAAAAATAATATCAAATGAATGTGTGTGCTTTAAACAAAATGCATTTAATTGGAATATTTGCAGTCCAAGAATTGCAGTTTTTAATATATTCTCTTGCAATTTCTTATTTATTTTAAGCTTTAAATTAAAAAAGGTTACCGAACCAACCTTTTTATTGCGTTGAAAAGAATTCATTTGCTATGCAATGTCTTGGATATTGAAAGAGAAGGAATTCCGATACCTCTTATGTCTACTCTATTTCGCATTAAGACTACAAAACTAACGAAGAAAGACCGACAAAATGAAATATAGAAAGTGAAGAGAGAGAGAGAGAAAGAGAAAAATATCCAATAAGACAGCAAAGTAAATTATGATAAGATAATCACTTGTACATTCATTGTTCCATATGAATTTTGAACGTAATTCTGAACTTTAATGTATGCATGCCCTTAATTTGCATAGGTCGGTCAAGTACTTCTGAATATTGTGTTATCGACTATTTAGTTTATATATGTTGAATTAAAAAATGTGAGTGTAATATAATTTTGAACCAAAGTAAAATTTAAAAATACAGTCTCCGAACCTTTTAATAAATTTTTGTGCTCATTTCTTAGAATGACTTCGAACGGCTCACTACTAAATTCACTTAGTTTAAACTAAATATATGAATTTTAATAAGTAATTAAAATAGTTTATCAATGCTTTTAATTTTGTAATATAAATTTTAAGTAATATCTTAATAATTATTGTAAATATTTAAGAAATTAATAAACAAGTAAAATGTTTGGTGTAGTGAAATACTTAGCATTCTTGCTAAATGAAGTGTATGAGAAGCACAGAGGTGAGCTAATGTTATGGGAATATCTGTAATGAAAAAGAAATAACTTTGAACTTAAAAACAAATTAGATCCACGAGTACAACATTTTCTTCTGGTTGGGTCACCTTTTCCTCCTTTAGCAATTATAGCTGTGTACCTATTATTTGTGCTGCACTATGGACCTAAGTGGATGGAGAACCGAAAACCTTATGAATTGAAAAATGTCATGCGAATATACAATGCTATTCAAGTGGTGGCGAATATAATAATCTTTATAATTGTAAGTGTTTATTGATGGTATATAATAAATTTATTGTGATATTAAATGATGATATTAAGCTTATGTTTACTCTTCTTAGGGTATAAGATGTTCTGCGTTGCACAAGGAATACAGTTTACTTTGTCAACCTATTGACAACGACAATACAAAGCCATGGATGTTAAAACTTCTTAATGCATCTTATTGTTATTATTTAACAAAGTATTTGGATTTATTTGATACGGTAATTATATTTTTATACATATATTTGTATAGATACATATATATAATATTAATATCAAAAATTGATTTTCCTGTAAAGAACCTAGCTATCTTAGTTTTATTGGTTTATTTTTATTTTTCGGACGCGTCAGATAAGGTCTCCAAAGAATGAAAATATATAATATTCAAAATTGAGACTATTAATTTAATTCATAATAATTAAATATTGAAATTATTCTATAATTAATAATTATAAATTTTGAACTTTTTCTGTTGCATTGGTCAGCATATTGATATTAGTCTTTAATTATTTATACGTACGGACAATCAGAGATAAAGGTCAATTTAATTTCCATTAAATTGACTTATTTCTACTGAAAATATATAGGAGTAAATACCATTTTCAACAAATAATTTGAAAAATTTTTTTCTAATTACATATACGAAAAAAAATGTATTTAATACAGTAAAATTTTATTTTATATGTACCAATCAGATTATGTCGCTGTTTTTAAAAACATTGCGTTATTTTGATATACAAGAATATATAATAAATTATTTTCTATTACTTTTCAGATTTTTTTCGTATTACGTAAAAAAAATAGGCAAATAACATTCTTGCATGTTTATCACCACGCGGGCATGGTTTTTGGCTGTCACATTCACATGACGTTTATGGCAGGTGAGTAGATCGATGGTGCAAAAGATCATTATAAATGGAACACTAAAATTAAAGGACATATAACTTTACAGGAAGTCTTTCAACAATGTTGGGTATGGTCAATCTTGTGATACATACAGTTATGTACTCGTACTATCTGGCAACGTCGCTACAACCTATCAAAGAGGCTCTGTGGTGGAAGCGCCATATCACAGAATTGCAATTATTGCAGTTTGGTTTTCTGATGGTGTTATACTTGCAGGCTATATTACGCAAGTCTTGTGAAATACCACTTCCAGTGTCCATGGTTGCTTTCATGCAGAATCTCTTTATGTTTGCGCTTTTCTTCGAATTCTATTTCAAGACCTATTTGAAGAAACAGTTTTCGAGTTCGAAGCCGAAAGTAGAAAGTTGTGCGAAAGAAGAGAGCAGCGCCAGTACGAACAGCGAATCTTTGAAAACTCAGTAGCGTTAGCTTTATTTTAATTAACTTTACTTAAGTGTACAACAATCATAAATTTACTTAATAAAATGTCACTTGAATTGCCTTGCTATGTACGATTTGCGATATAATTTTTTCACATGAATTGCATTTTATTTGTATATAATAAAATCAAGCCTCTTAAGTGGCCCCAAATGGATTTACCTATTGAACCGTGTAGTGCTTTGTGTTCACTGCATATGTAATGCACCAGCTGGGGCTGGTGTGGCTTGGCTTGGGTCGGCTTGGTTTCCAATTTAGCTTTGTTGCACGCTGGCCCTTGTGGGTTTGTGGCCGTGTGTATCTGTATATGCAAATATTTGTTATGTGCTCATTAATCGAAAGTAAATTTACATAAATTCTAAACTTAAGTCCGTAATTGCATACTAAAGTAGTCGTAAGCACCGACAATCTAAGTGCATACGAATTTGAATCAAAGTTCACTTATTTAAATTTGCTTTTTTAAATGAATTTTATTATAGTTGGATTTCAACTTGAAATACATAAATTCTGAAATAATTTTTGGAAAAAAATTGAAAACTTTTTAGTTGTATAATATCTAAAAAACACTAAAGTTTATTGAGGTTCAAAAATTTAACGAAACCTATGAATTATTAAATAACTTCGACAGAAAGTCATTTTAATGACATGTCTGTTCAATATTCCGAATTTTATATTAATACATATATATTTAAGATATATAAAACATTATTTTAGAATATAAATAATATGTTAAAAATGCGCTGCTAATCATTTCTAACATCTTTTATTAAATATTATTTGCGTTCTTCATAATCAACAGTCTTCATAAGTTTAATATGTGAAATATATATAACTCTCTAGTACATAAAAGTAATACCTTTCTATTATTCTATTCCATCTAATAAAAGAATATCGAAGCTATGATTTTTCTATACTTTATAGAAATAGTACAAGCATATCAATATTTTCAACAGTTAGTAGAAACTTTTCTACGAGATAAATACTTCTCAGATAAGTTCTTTCGTGTAATTTCCCCTTACAAAATTGACAGCAAATACGAATAATAACCTTTTTGGAAGTGACAAACTATAGTGACCAAAGATTATACGATGCAATAGTAAAATAGCTGGCAGATTTATAGGTCCACATTTTAAAAATAATACATTATTAAAAGTATTAAGATTTGTAAGATAATACATAATTTGAATGAATTGCCATCATTCAATAGTATAGAAAAGTGATAAGTGGTAGATTTCTGAAGTTCTAGTTAAGCGTGTGTTAACAACTGATCTGGTCAGAACACAAGATATTGAACATTTAAAGATCAGAATTTCTGTTACTAAGAAGTTCCTGACAATAGATGGTATATTATTTCCTTCCTGCCTTAAACCACAACCAGATAATCATAAAAAGTGTGACTAGAGAGTCTCATTAATTCCAGATAGGTATCATTCCTGTAACAGGGCTGACCTTAAAAGTGTAATATATAAATATGTTAAAAGACTTGAATAATTTTAATCTAGTTATCATGCAGATTTATTTATATATTTTTATTTTCTCTAAAACTACAATTATATATTTTTTTTTGAAAAAAAAATTGTTTTTTAAAGTTTTTATTAAGCCCAAAATTATGTATTACTGAAGACGTCTGAAATTATTTCTACAAACGGTTTTATCATAAAAAGTAATAGGTAAGTACTTTGCCACTCTATGTCTTTATTTTTTGAATTGTTTTGTTTGGCTTCTGGAATTTTTAAAGAATCTTGGAACTGCAATCCACTTTATACCACAATTATTGCAATTGATGTCATAATCAAATACTGAATCTGTGAGTTAAATTAGCACTTTAATACTCTTACCGACATCCTTGTTACAAACTGTTTGATTGGTTATTTGTATAGACAGCTTGGTTTATTAGTGATGAACACCGATAGGACGTCGTAGTTATTAAAAAGCGACATACCTGAATTGGTTATTTTTTTTTGTTTCCAAAAGACAGCGCATTCACAAAAAAAAATTATTAGTTGTTTTCTTCGCTTGTGTTTGGTTACTACTCAAAAACACTCAAAAATGATAGCCTGCACCTTTCAATGGCATGCAACCAACATGTTGGTCTGCTCACCAAAATTTTAGTACAGCATGCGTAAACACCCTTATTCTTTAAAAAATTTGCTTGAATGATAACTCTTGCATGTGAGCATGTTTAAGTTCGGTTGCTAGAATAAATTTGAACAAAAGAGAGCGCAACTTGAATGACATTCAAAAATGATAGTCTGCACCGCGTTTTAAATGATGCACGACTCTTTCGTCTATAATTAGCTATTTAAAGGTAAGCGATATTAATAGTCTTTTTGTCACATTATCAGTGATTATTTAAAACCGGTTCTGCAAAAACTTTTTGAATAGTAGATATACTGTTCAAGATCAGATATATCTGGCGTCATAGATTCCTAATAGGGGTAATCATACTACAAATATATAATCTTAAAATTTATGTTAACTCTGGAACACCTCTTCAAATTTTATACTTCTCTTCTTTTCTTTTGTAAAGTTGTGCCGATACCAAGATATATTAACCGTTTCGGGTATACCAACACACATTTTTATTTCATATATTATAGTGTAAAGTCGTTTTTTGATTTGTGTCGTGTCAAACTAAATTCGTTAAATTAGTTTTTATTTGGCTCTGATGACGTCAATGAAGCTGATACAGCAAATGGAAGCGTTAAATTTAAACTCAACAGTCAGAGTTGCGGTCGCAACTGATTTATGATGTTATTAATAAAGAAACAAAGATAAACCAGAAAGTTAAAAGAGAAACAAAAAGTTTCAGTGCTTTAAATTGAATTTAGTGGAAACAAAGGACCTGATTTAGCGTTTGTCCAGTCACAAAGGCATATCTATAAATGTTTTGTTTACTTTGAGAACTTCTTTCAGTTTTGCAGTTACTTTTTGTTTGTTTTATTGTATTCTGTGTAACGAACAAGTTAAGCTTTGTTTTTATTTTTTCCCATCCCTGTGTCTTCTTCTTGTCCTTCATCTTCAGCTCCCTTAGTTGGTTGAGGAATCATTAACTCACTGATGATGGTTATTATGACAAGGTATTGAAAAGTTGCTGGAGAAAATCAAAAAAGAAAAGTTCCATAATTTGAGGCGCTGTTGGTCCGCACCTTTTACCAATTATTTACTCTTTTTTCACTTTCTGGCGTGCGCTTTGCTTTTACTTTCAAAATAGCTTCCGCTTTGTCTTTAATTTTTGGTTTCCTTAGGCTTTCCACACGGCTTAAGTTACATTGTAAATTCTCATGTTTGGATTTCTGTGTTCCGCTGTACCATTTTTTGACTGCACGTGTTCGAATGAGGCTCGCTTTTTGATGTCTGGCAATTAGATGAAATTTAGGCATCATTAATCATTTGTATGGTACACTTCGCAAACTCAAGAAAATGAAAGATTTCACAGGAATAAACAACCAAAACTTTCGCAGTTTGCTTTAAATTTGAGATAAATACAAATTTTTCTTTGGACTTTTGAATTAAAGTCGAATCTGTATACGTACAGATACAAATGAAGCAAAAGACATTGACTATAGATATATAATATATTATTTATGGATTTTATGTTTTCGACATTAAAAACTTCACAATTCTGCAGCTTATGGCTTCTTTAAACATTTTTCAATTAAAGATAAACTTCACTTTGTGTTTTTTGTTTAAAAGAAAAAATATTTACACATAAATGTTGAAGTATTGTATACAGACATTCACATGACAAATGGTCGTAGTAGTTATTGCTCTTTCCGATCATGTTCATGAAGGCATGTTATGCAGAAAATCAAATCCAAATTGTCTATTTCGTACTTTAACTACAATTTATACACTTTTTAGTTGTGCTTAAGTTTAACAGGTGACAATTTTTGCATGGGTATATGAGTTAATATCTATCTTTACAGGGCCATAGGACAGCATGGAGCTAGACTTGACCCTACCCTGTGGTATCTCCTGCAATGCGTCTTTACCAGCTCTCGAAGAAAGGACACTGGAACACCCTATGTGTCTATGTCCAGGTTTGGCCAGAACTAGACTTAAGATTAACCTAATCGGCGATATCTCTAGAATTAGCATTGGCCAGATTCTTGTCTTTATAAATGCGTCTGAGTGGTTCCAACTTGACCTTCTCTCTACTACACACTATTACGAGGTTTTGTAGATTCAAAACGGCTTTCTTAGCTAATTGAGGAGGGTTCGTTCCTCCCTCCACCACAACTTACTAACTATGTGTATACCCACATTCCTTAAATCATAAATTCAGACATTTGTTAGTTAAATACTATGTTTTGATCAACGATACTCGGAGTAGAAATGACTATAGTTTCATCATAACTTCTCTCTTGCTCTATTTTTTCAATTTTTAATTAAGACTATGACTGTCAGGTCGATATGAATTAAATTCTATATGTACCTATTACTGAAAATTCAAAGCAATCATGTACGAATTTAATATAGTAGACTTTGATTATTGAGTTTAATACAATACTATTCAAAAATTTATGATTACAAAAAAAAATATTCTGAAATCAGTTTCATTTAAAAACTGTTACGAACAGTTTCAAATTTTCTAAAATAATATATTTGCTAACAAAATTATATATAAGTTTAGATTCTTTCGGAACACTGTGGTTGTAAAAGTGGAAACAAACATGGAACACTGTGAGCGCGTCCTCAATGCCCTTCTCAAAACCAAAGCCGGAACAAATATGCAAATAATGAAGGACATTGCAAAGGCTGAAGGTGTAAGTAAAAAAATATTGTCAATTAATTAATGGGAAACCAATCCTTATTTAATTTGCTTAAATTAAGAAAAAAAAAAAACAACCACCTTTTATGCGTCGAATATATAAAGTCAAATAATTTTTTTGACACAAATAATTCAAAAATTTATATAAAAACATTAAAATTTTATTTGTTCCAAATTTTTTTTTTTTTTAGATGACCGTTGACCAGGTGGTTCAGGCTCTTACTCCTCCTGAGGGTGATGAATCCACAATGATGTACAGTAGTGATGAAGAGAAAACTGAGGTCATACCAGAGAAAGTCAAAATTGCTAATGCAAGAAAGCAAGAATGCGTCGATTTAATCAAGCAACTGGTTTTGTCTGAGAACGTAAGTACCACTATTTATATATAGACAATATAAAATATACTACGCTTGCTAGTGCTACTACGTTAATTGATTTTTCTGAGGGATTGAACAATTTCAGTATATGAAAGAATAAAAAAAATTTAAATGTCGGAGATGACATATAATATTAAACTACTTTAATAATTTTGATTTTTAATTGTCCGAAATTCATTTTTTCAAGCTCCATACAATTCTTATTTTCATCTGATATTTCAAGTCTTTATTTTTGTGAAAAATGATTGGCTGTTTATTTACTTAATTGGTTTTAGCAATCCGTTTTGAGCTTTAAGTCCGATACAGCACGTCTTTCCATCGTCCCTTCACCAAACCACAATTTTCGTCTGTCTTTTTACTGCAACTGCGTCTTCAAAGACTTTTTGCTGGATCATCGATTTCTATATTTGCGACAGGATCGGTTTAAGAAGCCTCAGGCTTTTAATTGGCTGAACGATGTCAATATCGTGATAAAACTAACACAGTTAAACCAAGGTTAATATGGATACCCACATTACCAACTTGCTGAGGATTAAGGAAGTTACCCTTCTTAAATAAATTTCATAGAAGATATAACAACATCAAGGTCCGTTAATACCCTCTCAATTTAATTACTCCACCTCAGTTTTTTCTCGATTGTTATTTATTATACACATAGACATTATTTTTTTGATAAAAATTCGTTGAAACGTTGAAATTTGATTATTGAAATATATTTTTGTACAGCTTAGTAAGAGAAACGAATAATCAATTAAATACTTAATTCTTTTCTTTATACTCATCATACAGATGTCACTACACGAGATCATTGATGCGCTCACAGTGTCTATTGGAGCTGAGGTAACTAGTGGTCATGTTGGTGTAAATGCAGGATCGGTTGGCATTTTAACTAAAACTAAATCTGGTTTTCAAGATCCAGGTGTCACCCAACGTGACAGCTACCGTTCTTATTGCCAATGCCCATCTGGTGATTCTGATTCTCCTATGTATCCTCAGTCCCCTGCGAGCTCTGACATCCGTGAGTATTCTCGAGGATCTAAATCTCGTAAGTCTCAACAACCAGATACTCCTCAATGAGTTGTTCTACACTCTACAACTAAAAGCTACTAAAAAATAAAAAATCCAACCCAAGCTGTAAAAAGTATCCAAAAACAATCAAACCCATATTTTATAACAATTTTAAACTTAAGTGCTCCATAAAATTACAAACCAAGGTTTGATAAATAAATTCACATTGCAATAGAAACGATAATTAGTTAGTTTTTATAACTTTACTATTAAAACTAAGATATACACGTATGTTGACTAAGGTAAGATTAAAAATTAGAAAAATAAAATAAAACTTCTATAAATAATGGTTCAGGCAACGATATTTTTCTCCTCCATCCTCTCGGAGATGGAAAGAAAGATATATGAAAGATATAGCATAAAATATTTTACAATAAAAAATGAACGCGGACATCAATTTGGATTAAGATATATTTAGTTCACTCATGAGTGAAGCATTCAAACCTTTCTACGATATATACACTTATTATAACGTGAATTATTTATAAAATTACGAAAAATCACAAAACAAAATACAAATTGTTCAGTCTAAGAAATCTTTAATTCATTAAGGATCATGTACAGCTAATCTTCGAAGTTTGAGATTAATAGGTACTTGCATGGAAAATGTGAAATATTCGTGCATTTTGTCTGTTCATATTATCTGGATGTCAGTACCCACAGAACCATGTGAGTATACCTCAAAAAATTTTATTCATTAAGAAGATAATAGATCTGCAAAGTGGCGATTTAGTAAATATTTTCCCTTTTTATTAATAACAATTATCAGAAGTTGGACCTGAAAGAAATGCTAATCCGATGACAACAAGGCATAGAGACAGACCGAAACTGAGATGGAAGGAAAACTTGTACGAAGACGTTAGAAAGCTCGGAGTTCTGAATTGGAAAACAATTGCACAAAAACGAAGCAGATGGAGACAGGTTGCGTAGGAGGCCAAGGTTCGCACTGGACTGTAGTGCCAAATAAGAAGAAGAGAATCAGAAATACTGAAGAATTATTATAAGTAGAATCAAGATACTTGAAAGATTATTATCAATAGTCAATATTTATACGACTATTGATCAAAAATGTTATATGAATACCGATACTATGATATATAGTAAAATATGAAATGAAGGAACTTAACTTATGCTATTATCTTTCTCAAATAATTTATCCAAAATCTTTCTAATCTTACTTGACGAAACTTCGGAGTTTAATTCAAAATAAAATAATTAATTCTGTAAAGTACAATAAATGGTCTTATAAATATTTTAACTATATTTGGCACAAATTCTAGCTATCAGCAATTAGATCTTAACTGTGAGTAAGTAGGACTCTGACCTGTGTTTATGTTTGGAGAATAATTCTATAAATTATATTTAGGACTTTAAAAGTTGCAGCTTAGCTCATTCACTTTGGTTTTGTTCGCTAAATAGAAGAAAGGTGATATATTTCTAACAAATGCTTACACTACAAATTAGCGAAAAAATAATTTAAGTCTCTGCTAATTATTTCGAAATTGCACTGCAAAGTGTATATAAAAATTCCAAGGAGCATTTCAGCACATAGTAAAAATTTGCCACTCCAACAAACGCGAAAAGGCAATATACTGAGTTATACAAAATTCTGTTGACATTGCAAATGGCATATCATTCCGAAAATAAATGAGCATCTCCCCTAATATTTAACAGTTTATTTGCTTAAGTATCTAATTGAGATCCTGTACATTTGGATTTCCCTCAGCCGAGCTGTTCCTGTACGCTTTCAGTGTCGTGCAACGAAATCCTCAAATTTCTGAGCTTTGTGCACTTGAACTGCTCTTACTTTATTTGGTTTGTTGGTTACAATTTGTTTTAATGTAGCTGCGATATTTTTCTTATCGCATTTCGTACAGTTGGCAGCACAAATATTGCAAATGGCAACGGCAACGGCAACGGAAACGGAAACGCAGTTTAACAATTTACTACGTTGACTAGATCATCAAAATATCTTGGAGGAAATGCGAAAAGGAATGTCAAATGGGAGCAATATTAATAAAAATATATTTTTTGTATGTGTGCATGTCGGAAGCCACAGCTGCTAAGCTGCTAAACAACGGAAATACACTTAAGCCTCAAGCATTGGCTCGGTGTCAATATACAAATACGACAAAGCCATGCCCGCTGGGCACTTCATGCCAACTAAAATTAAAATTATCTGCGAGTTCAGTTGATTTTAATTGGCGCTGCGAATTAATTATTTTGCAAATTTATATTAAATTTTGTTTTACTTGACAAGTCAACAGTACACACAAGCCAACAAAAAGCACACGTATAACGTATATAACGCACATAACGCATATAACGCAAATAACGCTAACAACGCATAAAGGTAAATATTCTCGGAATATGACGTAAACAATGAATAAGCTTAGACACCACCACTCACCAAGACATTTCATTTTATTATTTTTTACTTACAAAATGATTTTGTTTCACAATCCCTACTTTGTTTTATCTGCTCGACGCTTCACAGAAAAGGAAAAAAGGACAAAGGACTATTTTCCTAAGAATTTTTGCTGCTGCCATGCTGCCATTGTTGCTGCTGCACTTCAAGCAAAGCATTCGTCCGTGTGCTGCAGCTTGTTTATTCGTCCTTTGTGCAATTGAATTTCGCTGACAGAAAATGCACAGCAGCGTTTACAGCACAACTGCAGCTTATTTATGTCCTGCTCAGGGACAACCTGAATGCATTGTTGTGCGCTTTTGTTTTGAATTTAAATAAATTTCGTTGTTCCGAATCGCTTTCAAATTGTATAAAAAATTTAACAGTTGCTTTGTCCTGCATTTATTGCAGTGCATAAAATCCGACTATTGTTGCCATTTTTCAGCTGTTTTATTCTCTTGTTTACAAATAGGAGTCTCATTATATTTTTATGTATTTGAATATTTTAAATATCCCAGAAAAATCAGAAATACTACAGGGAATTGCGTTTCAAATATTTACAGCTGAAATGACCTTCGTTGATTGCATTATTATTGCTCAATACTGGATAAATAATCGGAATTTCGTATGAACTTTCAATTTTGGAAGTATTTTATTAGTTAAAGGACTTTCGCTTTTAGTACAGTAATTATTAACGCCTATGACAATTAAATATTTTTTAGAAGGTTTTATAATACATTGAGATTGGTTGATTTATTAGTGCAATATATTTTTTATAAATATTATAAAATTATTTTAGACAAAAATTTATAAATTTAATGAAATTTATATGTAAATTTGATGACATACTAATATGTCCACATGCGGTATAAACTTCTTCAAATGATGCACTTAAGGTGATTGCTGGTAAGATGCCCACCGAGATCACAGCTAAGAAATTTCATGAACAGTCTATTAATGCTTCGAGAAATCCAAATAGTTTGTGGAATGTAATGGTACGATATATTAAGGCATATGGATTAATAAAAGGATCGCAAAAAATATATCGATTAAAGTTACTATCAAATATTTATAGCTGAATTATAAAGTACCAATATGTTTTTACTGATAATTTTAACTTAACTGATCTATATCATCTATTTACTGAAGCATATAAATAATATTTATGCTTTCCTTAGAGACACATTTTATTTACTCGAATTGATTTTGGTGGGATTTTATATCTAATAACAATTAAAATGTTATTAAAAACTTCAACTAAATTTAATTTAAGAATTGTGTGAAATTAAATGGAAATACATCAAGAATCATTACAGACATTCCAATAGGGCACTATAAGTCGAATTATTACTTTATTCACGAATAATGAAAGAGATAAATAAGAGGGTATCATATATCAAATTAATAAATAGGGGTACTTAAAGTCTCCAAAGGAAGCCTAACATCGCCAGAGAGCCCATATGGCGGATAGGATTCCCTCATACCACCAGATATGGGTGGTAGGAGGGAATCCTAATATCTCCCGCGGACCAAATACGCCAGAGGAGTAAATTTCGTCATCAAGCAAAGGCGGAAAATTCAAGGCGTTCGGACTAATAAACAACAGTATGGTCAATGACGCCAAGTTTCTAATGGTGTCTCTATTTCAGCATCTCTTCACCATGTTAGCTGTGGCTGAAAGCGGTCGTCGGACTTGTAGCAAGTGGATCATTATATAATTGTGTATCACGCCTGAATATCGTTGGTTCACAGATCCATCATCTACCGCTTATGTAAACTCGTGCGTCGGACCAACGATACTACTACAGCATGGAGTGAAACGAAAGCGGAACAACTTTTCTAAAGGGTAATCAATATTCAAGAAATACCTCTGCACACATTGAAGCAGGCACATCGGATTTGAAGGCAACAAACCGATGCTTTAACAACATCGATAGTTTTGAAATGAACGAAATCAAGAGAATCTATGCTCCACTGAGACTGAATGGAACAAAGAAGATGAAATTAGGTTTGATGCAATAATATATTGGGGAAGTACTAAGGCCATGGAGGATGCCCAAAACCTAATAATAATAATAATAGTCATTATTTATGTCTACCGTTCGGTAGGGGTCAGTAGAAGCATAAAAGATGTACTATTTTCAAAATGATTCGCTTTACTAGGAACTATTTTGGATGGGATTAGTTGTAATATAAATTATATATTGCGATGCCTTACTTCACTGAGAACCGGTGTCAGTATTCAATAGACTATCAATTTAACTTTGTGTAAGGACTCAATAATACTTATATAATGATGTTATTATTTTTTTAAAGGTGTTTAGATATAGCTTGATTATTTTTATTCAAGGTTCATAATTGTTATTGATGAGATTCTATTATTTCATCGATTTTTGATATATTTTTAATAGTTAAAATAAATTATCTAAGTGATATTCCATGTTACAGAGTATGTTTGAGTATTATTGTCAATTTTACTTTGAAAAGCTTGACGGTACACAATATTTAATATATGCCTCCCATATTAGAAAAGTATGACCTAATCCAATTAAGAGATAATATTTGCAATAAAAATATTAGCATAAGAGTCTTATAATTTTTTATTCAAAAATCTCCAAATCACTAAAAAGACATTAAAAATTTATAAAAATTAGAGATTTGTAGTGGTCTACATGTACATCTATCCGCACTAAATATTTAAAAAAAATTAATATTATTAAAGGATTAAATTTTAAGCGCTCTAAGTTGACAATTTATTCGTAGGATTAAAACAGATT